ATTGTACCTTTGTTCGACGAGCTCATACATACCACATTTATTGACATCAATTGTACATTGACTATTTCTACTACTTTTTGGCTTCTTTCTTTTGTTACTATTATCAATAAATCCTTGATGTGGTATAAAACATGTTAAATTTGTTTGAGTTTCATCGTTATACACATTTATTGATAGGGTAGAAATAATTTGATTGAAAAATGATGGTGAAAAATTCAATAATGAAACAGATTTATTCTCAAATTCATTAAACGATATTGAAAATGAATTATTTTGAGAAAATGTTGCTTGAACATGTTGCCATGATGTCATTTGATGATAATAATTAATAGCTGATTGTAATTGACTATATGATGTTGAAGACGAATGTTGAATGCTGGTAGTTGAATTATAAAATGTGAATGCGTATATCGTAGTATCATTCAATAGTAACTGCGTTCGTAAACGAAAATTATTTGTCGATAGTTTTAATTGAAAATAGTGATTATTTGCAGTATAAAAGTTCAATGAAATTAAATCAATGTTAGGTAAACAAGTCCTATAACTAAAACTAATCGTATAATATTCATGTGGTACAGTGAAATTCCATGGCTCATGAATTCGAATTTCGCTAAAATCATATGTTGTACCAAAATTGATTTGATAAGATAGAAGAAGGGTGGTAACTGATAGGACATAATTCCCAATTGCTAGAATAAAATGAAAATAAATAATTATTCAAATTATATCTCTTTTTTTTAGATATTTTTATGCAAAGTCGAGCAGAAAATCAGCGAAATGAGTAGACACTAGTATGTTGATACTGAGATAAACTCAATATTCTCATATCAAACTAGTTGTTCTTCACTACTATTAGACATAGAGATTCCAGTATAAATTTTCCAGTACATATTCAAATTTAAAAGAAAACTATTTTACCTTGAACAAGGTCATGTAACAACATTTTTTTTTCATATCCAACGAAAATAAAAACTGTTTATAAACGAAATTGATATTTAATGATTTGTTTCATATTCAACATATAGATCCAGTGATATATCATATCGTCGACGACGTATTAATGTTTAGACATTTTTCTTTATTACAGCTGATTCATTCAAATTAGAATTGAACAGGTCACCTTCGACAAGGAAGAAGAGAAAAAAAAATTTTTTTTGTTTTTTTTAATCAAAACATTCAATATAGAATACATCTGAAAAAAAATAAAAGAAGAAGACGAGAAACGGATGTAACCAGAGCTCGAACAACAACTTCAAATGAAAAAAAACATCAAACATTAACGTTAGGAGGAGTGCACAGTATGTACATAATATGATAGTGGTGGACACAATATGATTAGTATCTCTGTTTACTCTGAACGAAAAAAAAAAGAATAGTGACCGAGAAAATTATATACCAATGAAGAAGAAAAGAAAAGAAGTTGACCATCACATACCAATCTACATAACTTAATCGACTGAACACGAGGAAATAAAATAACAATGAGATTCATTTGACATTTTATTAAAATTCAATTTTGAACGAAAGAATGTAAAACCCCTACGTTATCGAATAAATGAAATTAGGCGACGTTTATATACTTACACGGATAGACAATGAAATGATAATCTCATGTTATTATATGTCAACGATAAACGGATAAATTAAAGTTAGTGAATATAAAAGTTGTATAAGTGTCACATCTATGATCAAAACAAGGAAAAAATGTATGAGATTTGAAATTAATATTCAAGAAGTCGTTTGGAACTCTGACACATCTTGGAGAGTGTGCTCTTTTGAAGAAAAAAAGTATGCGTTTTTCTTTGCGAAAAATATTAGGTGACATTCGGATAAATTCTTCCTAAAAGATATAGCATAAGATGAATAAAAATCGTATTTTAATACATTTTGCACATAGTTATGAATTCCTCACCAGAACTGTGAAAATAATACATCACATACACATTTGGTTAAACAATATCTATATCTCTTCTTTCGGCTGTTTCTTTTATGAATGATAACATGACGTTTGTTCAAGACGTCTGCATGATTACCTTTTCTTTTTTCGATAACGGACATATCATCTTTCAATATATGTGTCTAACTGAATATCGAATATGGTCATTTCTAAAAGAAGTTTCACTCTGCTGCCAAATATTATCGGATCTAATTAAAATCGTTTTCAATCATTCATCAGAGAGACTGATGAACATACATATTTGCTTACCTGTTTTATTTTCTCTCTTTCACATTCAAAAGAATCAAGTGAACATTTTTCTCATTTTTTTTTCCTGTAATAATTCAACAATCTTTTGTACATTCACATAGAAAGAAACAAAAAAAAAACATTCTTGAACATTGAACTCTTGATTTGATAACGAAAAAAAAAAATGCATACATGGATGAGTTCATTCTTTTTCGACTCGTTATACATAAAGCAAAAGTTCAGGCTTAGTAGAAGAGACTATCTAAATACTTAAGCATTAATGTTAGAGCAATTAATGATCGAATAATAAAAGTGTTTATTCAAAATTTTCTCTATCAATGCATACAAATATTATCATCAATGAGATAAAACATCACTTATCATGTATTAAAGTATTTTCGATTCTGATTTTTCTGCCTCATCGTTATTTTTCTTTATTGTTTTTTTCATAATTGCTGATCTTTTGTTATTAATATATTTATCATAGAATGTAAAACTTAGGGAACTCAACTTTTAATTGTGTTTTTTGGAGAAGTATGAATAAAAACTATATTTCATCACGCTAAGACAGACGTTTGTGATAGTTTTGTTTAATAATTGACTAATCATGCCATTCAACGAGGGAAAGGAAGTGATAATCTCCTTGAACATTGATCAAAGAAAAGGTGATAATTCAACTTTCAAAGCTCATTATAAATGAAGTTTTTTCCTGTTCACATTGAATGAGGGGAGTATATATGTGTAAGTTAGTAATTTTGACTAATCTTGTAAATCTATCTTATGTTTATCGAGAGAGAGAAAGAGAACAAACGTTTACCTTTAGATTTTAGTAAAGAAATTGCCGCTATAGATATACATGTGTAATAAGAAAAGAAATCAACACAATAAAGACCTTTAAATCTTTTTTTCATTGCAGTAATCAAAATATTATTATAAATTACAAAAACGTAGCCCAGAGTTAATTATACCAAAGAGTAAAGCAGATTGTCGCCATAAGGTTTGGTTAGTTTATGTTATATATAGAAAATGGACATACATATAGAAGTATTTTATTAGACTTTCATCTTTGCAGAAGCATAAAACAATAGGTCTAAACGGAAACATTTTTTCCGTCTAATAAGATGAATACTTGAACACTATTTAGTCAGTAGATTTTTTCTCTGAAGTAGAATTGTATTAAAAACGTTGTTCAATAAAGATATTTATTGAAATGAAACAAGTTTAAACCATGTTTTATATCTTCACCAAAGATGTTAGAAGTTAGCAATTTGCTATTACTTTTCACGTACATAAATGACCTCGATCTAAACATTTAATAATGTTCTTAATGAAAAAACTCTAAAAACTTTATCTTATCAAAAAATGTTGAAAATGTATGATGATCTCATTTATTTTTCTCGGTTGTTTAAAAAGTTTTCAAATATTGCCTTATCTGATCATTGAATACAGTTTGAATGAGTTGATACAGTCGCTTTTTATTACTTTCTCTGACATAACATTTTTCTTCTAATTTTAATTTTGAACTTTAATTTTTAGTTTTAAACTCATTTGCTATTTCTTGTAAAACACTTTGTTCAATCAGCGTGATATGAAATTTTATCGATGCATTCCCATTCTCCTGTATATTTCAAATTAAATCTCTTCCTTATTCGGTAATATTCACTTTATTTGTTAATAATAGAAACTCGCCACCTATTGAAAATAATTGTATAGTTTAGATGAATACATATTCCATGTTATTTGATTCATTGTAATCGCAAACAATATCTTCAAGATTATTTAAATGATTTTCAGCATATATCATCAATTTTAGGGATTCAAGCATTTCAGCTAAGTTTCCAATCAAATTTTCAATTGAGTTATTTATTCATTTCCGTTATAAAAACGATTGTTTTTGTTCTCAATAATTGACTAACCTTCTGCAACCAATTGACTAATACATCAGTTTCTTGTACACTGTTGAATTTTTACATCTAACAAGAACGAACTTGAGCTAGCGGTTAAAGTATGGTGGAATACAGTTGATATAACATCTCGAAACACTTTGACAAAGTTATATGACACAGATCTCGTATGATTTTTTGAAAATATATCACATTCGATTTTAGTTCTCAGTAAATAGAGAACTAACGAAAATGGAGATATCTCTATTCGCATGTGCACTGTATTCGATGACAAATGCGTCAGATGTCTTTATTTATTCTTTCTGCTCTCTTCCTTCTATAAGCATCAAATGTGCGGCAATGTAAGCACAGGATATATCTTGTGCGAATAGAGATATCTCCATTTTTGTTAGTTCTCTAATATTAGATTTTCAAATGACATTTTTTTTATCATCGTTTTTGACTGTAAAGATGAGTAACATTCAGCTTTGACGAACCCTTTGTTCTTGAGAAAACTGACTTTTACACACAAAACATGCGAAAATCTAAAAATCTGGTCACTATAAAAGTATAACGATAAAAATGTAGTTTTTAAAAGTGTAACTCTTATTTTTTTCAGATTTTCTTTTTAAATCAACAATACAATGGCAGCACAAACCGCTCATGCAGCAACACGTTCTGCAGTTCAATCCCTGTCTAGGTATACAATTTTTTGTTCTATACATGTCTATATATTAATTACTATGATGAATTTATTTTCGACATTTTTTTAACCGGAGTATACCTTAGACAACCTTGTACATTATCTAAAAAAAGGTCATTATGAGATTTGTCATATACACAATCAACGAACAAATAACAGTGAAAAGCAATAAAAAAGTATCACATGAAAAACTCTTTCACTTTTTTAACTCTTCTAGTTTTAACTTAATCTAGTTATATGAGCTGGCCTTGTGTTTTGGAAGAAATGTAAAATCATCGGGCACTTTTCCTATGAGTAATTCGGTTATTTTAATCCAATCTGAACAATTTGTAGATGACAGTAATGTTTCTAAATCATTTCGTCCAAAATAGTAGGGTGGTCGTTCGTTGATTTTTTGTACTCTTTCTAACAATCCAACGGGAATGTAACGATGTAAAAATGATAACCATTCCAATAAGAATCGTCGAGTTTTATTCAAACCAGCTTGATCACTACCATGATGTTCTAATCCATAATTGGCATATCGTTTTAACATTTCAAATCGTTCACTGGCAGATATGTCCCATGTGCGTTGCTCTTTTATTTCTGTAAATAGCCTGAAGAGAGAAAAAAAGATTAGTCGACTTTGAAGTTTAGTCAAGAGGAGGAGTGACACAGTTCCAGTTCAGCTCTTTTGAACAACAAATAGTCACTTGTACTTTTAAAAAGAACGGGATCTCTTATCATGCGAAAAAAGATAATTTCATCACGCATGACGATTAACTAGTATCATAGCCCGAAACGAATTAAATAATTTGGTGTTCAATTCAATTTGATTCGATTCGACCTTTAATCGAATTGAACCGAACTGAAGTTGATTTTTGAGCTTTTCGTTTAAATCCAATCGAACTAAGTAGTTTAGTTGAAGAGTATGGTGTTTTTGTTTATCAATGTAAAGACCTTCAATTTTTACCTTCAATTGAAAATAATAAATGAAAAGACTAGTCGTATGAACAAGATATTTCTTGTGAATATTCTTTATGTTTTAATTCATGTTTTGAAGGTTCTAGTCACAAAAACGGCAGGATTACTCAAGTGTTCTAACTTGAGAGAGTATATTCTGAATAGACGTTTCAAGTAACAAAGAGAGTACAACTTTCATTTTAATTAATTAAGTCGAATCAAACCGATTGAACTTTTGAAAATCGGATTGAATTACATTTTCCTGATTCGTTTTGAGCTCCGATTAGTATACAGATATGAAACTTGATGATCTTTTTTCATCAGTTGAAGGAAGGAAGAGATCAGAAAGTTTCAGTTCTTATAGTTTCTGAGAACTAGTCGAAAGAACTGATAGCAACTCCAATTCCAAAAAACCGAACTATTTATCAATTCTTTCGATCATTTGTTAAGAACTATAAGGATGTCTCATCTGTATTCAAGAGCAAATAAACTTACCATGGTTTGATTAGCGCTCCTCTTGCTATCATACATCCCGTAACACTTGTTTGTTCTAGCCGTTGATAATAGTCTTGAAAATTATAAATATCACCTAGACCAATAACAGGAATTGGATCAGCTAATTTTGCACATTGATCAATATAGTTCCAATCGGCTAATTTAGTATATCGTTGTTCTCTCGATCGACCATGAATTGAAAATAGGTCAACACAATGATCACCCCATTGTTTGACTCTCTCAATAATTTCATGAGCATTATTTTGATTATCATGTACACCCGTTCTCAACTTCAATGTAATCGGTACGGTTGATATACACGACATTGATCGTACAATTCGTTCAAGATCAATTGGTCGTCGAGTTAATGCACATCCAGATCCTTTCTTAAAAACAGAATCTAATGGACATGCACAATTTAAATCAATAAAATCAACATCAAAATTTTCTAATAATAATTGAACACATTTTGTAGAAACATCACAAAATGAACTGCATATTTGAACTCCATAAATATTTTCACTTTGATGTCGTTTCAACAGTGCTATTTCACCGAGTTGACTTTGTAACAAATTTGTACACATAGTCATTTCACAACATGTAATATCAGCACCAAATTCTTTACATATACGACGAAATGGTAAATTTCCTATGAATAAGAGTATGACATAAAGAAATGAATTTAATAATAAAGTATACATATACTTAGTCATATGTATTTTTTAATTAAAAAAGAAATAGAAAGTCAAGACTTACCAACAGTAGTCAACGGAGCCAAATATAACTGATTACGAAAATCAATATGTTTCTTTTCACGTGGTTTTAATCGATACATGTCTTCATCTGTAATTGTGCCTAATGTACGAAGTGGTGTTGATTGAAATGGTTTATCTGTCACGATATTATCTAATTCTCTTACATTAGAAATATTTTCTTCATTATCGCCAGTTCCATTCGATAAACCATAATCATCTTCATCGACGACTATTTCAGACTAATAGGTGAAATGAAAAAGAAAGAAAATAAATTTTGTTCAATCAAGGCGAACAAAATAGAATTCTACCTTTTCATGTCCATTTGTTGTTTTTATCGTTTCATCTTCCATATTAATCAATTGTCTTGAACTAAAGGGTAGCGTATTTGAAGCTTCTTCTGTTCCATTGATTATTTTTGCTTTTGTTGATTTAATTACTTTATTTGCTATATCTGTCACTTGTGTTGCCAATTTAAAATTATATTTCTTTTTTCGTAATAATTGTCGTAATTTAATTGGACAAATATTTTTAGTTTCTTGAGCATACGTTGATTTCATTTTCTCATATAATTCATTATTTGTTAAATTATCACCTGTTTGTTGATCAATATGTTCTGTTCCATAGCGACACAACAGTCCATGAGGACACTGTCCATATTTTCTAAATAAATAACATTGTGACGAAACATCTTTTGGTCGTGTTTTTAAATAAATTTGTTTATCATGAGTATATTTGCATTTTGATGCATATGGACATGGACGAGTATTATGAACAACAAATGAGCATAGTCGAGATTCAGTTGAACCAAGTGAACGAAAATTTGCTGATGCACGATTTCGATTTTGACCCTAGAAAATAAAAATAAAAATGTAATGCTTTCTTCACTTTCAAATTAATAAATATATTCTTTTACTTTTATTTTTTTTGGTTTTTGTTCTGTAATACTCTGATCGTTGCTCGAAATTAATTGACTTTTATCTTTATCAGTCATACATTGCAAACTTATTCTAACTTCATGATCAAAATCCAAGTATCTTAAATAAATTTAAATTTTTTTAATTTATTTATCGATATTATCTTCCTTTTTTTTATTCTATCGTTTTATCATTCTTACTCAGTTTTAATTGGTGCTACAGCTACTGTTGTTTTCAACTGTTCGACTCTTTTCCTTTGTGCCTCATTTAAATTATTTGGATCATTCAATGGACGACTCACTGTTTCTACTAAAAGCTGATAATTTTCAACATCAATATCATTTGACAAATTGGCCATCTAAAATAATAATCGAGAGAAAACAACAGAATGATCTTGAAAAAAATAAACCAGTTGTTGTCGTCATAATAAATCGAACAAAGAAACTTGCTGTCATATTTTGGTAGAGATAGACAAGTCTGACCATTTCTAAGTTCAAGTCTCATAGAAAATTGTTTTATTTGTATAGCAATAGTGTCTGCTTAATTATTATGTATACAGTTAAAACAGCACATATTAATGGGAACAAGAACAAAAACAACAATTAAAAAACAAAGATATTACGAAATTGAACTAAAATTATATTTTAACAATGTTAAACATAAATGTCTATAAAGCTCGATAGTTTAATTCGAACACAATGATTTATTCTCTCCTTTTCAACTATATGGTCGATTTAAATATAACGTTTAAAACTGAGAGATACATTCACTATATTGCATTATTCAAAACCCAATTTTCTTTAATAATAGTGATGCAAATATTGTTGTGTTTTGAAGCTACACATGATGTTGTTGTTGTCATCTTATTATCTTGATGAAATTTTTTCTTTCATCACTTTATGTGGTACTTTCATCACTCCCTAGATGGTGAATGGAAAGAAATGTTGATTGTTGGCAAAGTAGAGTTCAAGAAGTGGTAGACGAGACGATTATCTAAGATATAATTATGATCTGATTAAGTTTTGATATTTTTTAACGTTAGCAAAAAAGTATCTGTAAGTCAAGTTGAAAAAATATGACAGTGAAACATCAGTGAACGCAATTGAACTCGTTTGTTACTGCTGCATCTTCGAATTGTTCTTATTCAATAGAATTTAAGGATATCCCTTCCCCTCTTTCTGAAAAAATTTCGATTTTGAGTTAAACACAGACTAATATGGAGCAAAGCCTAAGCTATAAAATAAGACTGCTCCCAGCAAAAAAGTGTTTTCTTCATAACGACACGTCTTACAAAAGTTTTCAATCGTTTTCTGCAGAGACATAAACATTGCTGCAAATGCTCTAAAAGAACTGTCCTATTTGATGTTACTTGTAATGCTCAAAATACTAAAGATTCCAATCTGTGAACATTCTGACCCCATCGAAACTTCATCCGATCGCGCTCAAAATTTTACCATAGGTATCTGAGATCATATCTCAACGAAAAGTTTTGTTTTTGATTTTTCTTTCCGAGTTATAGAGTTTTCAACATCAAAAATCGAGGTTTTACGTTGACTTTTGATCATTTTTTTCATATTTCAAGCAGGAAAACTTAGAAATCAAAATCAAAAATTTGAATATACGGCAAAACACATCATTTGAAAACTATAAAATAAGTAAACATCCTCAAAAATAATCATGTTTTGAAACTTTCACATGCAAACTGATATCAGAGTGCTTTAATACAACCGAAAGAGTAATATATATATATTATGCTTGACAATAAAAAACACTTGGGTTTCTATTAGCCGAAGAAACAGTTCATTTTTTAACTATAAAGTAAAGCTTTTGTTATCCAATATCTTAAAAAATAAAAATTACTTATTGAAAACAATCTTTTAATGTTTGAGTTCTCACTTCATATTTTGTATATAAAAATTCTTCTTCTCAACCAGATAAAAACCAGAAGAAAAACAGTACAATTCGGGATTGCTTAAAAAAAATGTTGAAAAAGCAGTTTTTATAAGAAAAAAAAAGCGTCAACAATAAAGCTCGATAATTTAATTCGAAGATGAGAATTTATTCTCTCCTTTTCAACTATATGGTCGATTTAAATATAACGTTTAAAACTGAGAGATACATTCACTATATTGCATTATTCAAAACGCAATCTTCTTTAATAATAGTGATGCAAATATTGTTGTTCTTTTGAGCTATACATGTTGTTGTTGTTGTCTTATTATGGTGATGAAATTTTTTCTTAGAACGGCTTAATATCAATTGGTTGCTCTATTGACATAGTTCTTTCCTTAACATAATATCTACCTTTACTTTTGTCAGCATTCGAATGGTTGATTTTTACCAATGAGAGTACCCTAGTTACAGAAACTGTAACTAAGAATGAAAAAGAATCAGTATGTTGAAAAATAAAAGAGAATTAAAGCATCTTTTGCATATATCGCTAAGTATATGACTGTACTTCTTATAAAACTGATCGTTTGATAAAAATGGATAATCGTGAACGTTTATAAATGAATACAATTGTGAAATGAGAAATTACTATTCGTTTTATTTCACTGTTGCCTATATTTTATTGAGAAAAGATAGGGTACATGGCTATGATAAACCATTACACCAGACTACACAAATCACTAAGATAAAAATAGTCATTTTATATCCGAGGCATCTTGGTTTTATGCTTAAAAAAACAGATTTTTGAACTTCTCATCGTCATTATACAATCCTAAATAGGGCGATGAGAACATTTTTCGTGTAGAATTAGAACGATGATATAAATATTATGTGTGGTAGTATTTTTGTTTTCTTTTTTCTGATAAAGTGACATAGTATTATATGCTTTTCTTAATGTAAATAGGAACTGATTTGAATACTGTACGTTCAAACAATCGAAACATAGGATAAAACCTTATTAAACTTTCGAAGCAAATACTTAAAAACTTAGGTCAGACATTAATGTTGATAGTTTGTTTGTCGATAGATATCATCAAATCAATACAGACTTTACTCGACAAAAAGCGATATTTTTCTTTCAGACCGATGTTTTTTTTATTGTGTATTCATTAAAAATATTTTAAAGTATAGAAAAGAAGCTTTTTGATGAATAAATTCCAATTTTGTTTTAGATTTCTTTGAATTATCAAATATATTCATGTAACTATCATTAATTCATATAATATAATCGTGATTCATTAAACCTGCGATATAAAATGGTGAGTTCTGTTTCTTTTAAATAACTTGAATGATAATTGTTTTAAAATATTTATCATAGAATTATATATTTTTTAATTTTTTTCTTATTTTAGCCTGCCCGTCCATCAACTGCGTCTTCTAATAAAGATGAAACTGTTCGTGTAGTAGTACGTTGTCGTCCAATTAGTGATAGAGAACAAGATGCTAATTGTGAAAGGTTTATTTTTCTTTTGTTTATTTCATTTTTTACAATATATCAATAATATATTTGAAAATTTAGAGTTATTGATATAGATGTAAAACGGCGTCAAGTATCGGTTCGTCGTCCAAGAAATGATCTTAGAGAAAGTGAACGTAATGAACCGCATAATTTTTTTTTCGATGCTGTTTATGATTGGAAGTAAGAAAAAAATCAACATATTTTTTTTTCAATATTTATGTAACTTTTTCTTGTTTAGTTCAAAACAGACAGATGTCTATGAAGAAACTGTACGAACATTAGTCGATTCTGTCTTAAATGGTTTTAATGGTACAATATTTGCGTATGGTCAGACAGGGACAGGTGAATTTCAGTTAGAAAACGTATTAGTGTAAAAATAGATCTTAATATTTTTGTTTTTTTTGTAGGAAAAACGTTTACAATGGAAGGTGTGTACAATTTATCATGGATGAAGATAATAAAAGAAACGTTGATAACAAAATGAAAGTTTAATTATTTATAGGTGTTCGTTCTGTCAAAGAACTACGTGGCATAATACCAAATTCATTTGAGCATATTTTTGATTCAATTGCTCATAGTACATCAAGACAATATCTTGTTCGAGCATCCTACTTGGAAATTTATAATGTATATATTGAATAACTTTCTGTAGTTTGTTTGATTCGATTTTGAAATTTATTTTTCTAGGAAAATATTCGAGATTTACTTGCAAAAGATCAATCACAACGGTTAGAATTGAAAGAGAGACCGGATACAGGAATTTATGTTAAAGTAAAAATTAATTTTAATATTTCGATTATGTTGAATATAACTAAAAGAATTTAATCTAGGATTTATGTTCGTTTGTTACAAAAAATATTCAAGAAATCGAACATGCAATGTCAACAGGAAATAAAAATCGTTCAACAGGGTACATAAATAGATTTTTTTGTTTTCTTTTCAACAATCTTGAAGTTTAACGTTGTATATTCTAGTGCGACGAATATGAATGAACATAGTTCACGTTCGCATGCGATATTTATGATTACAATTGAATGTTGTGAAGTAAGATCAATTTATTTTTTCTTATTCATGAAGGATAACTAGCAGATTATGTGATTAGTAAATTTTTCTCTTTTAAATGAAATATTTCATTATCACTTTTTATTATAGACGGGTGCCGATGGTAAACCACACATTCGTGTTGGTAAACTGAATCTTGTTGATTTAGCCGGTAGTGAAAGACAAGCAAAGACTGGTTCTACTGTAAGATTACAAGAGAGATGAGAATGATCCTTTCTCATTATTCTTTCTTTCAAGGGTGATCGATTCAAAGAGGCAACAAAAATTAATTTATCATTAAGTGTATTGGGCAATGTTATCTCATCATTAGTCGATGGAAATCCTCATATACCTTATCGTGATTCAAAATTAACACGTTTATTACAAGGTTTGAAAATGACAGTAGTAAATTTTATTTATTTTGAATAATCTGTTGTCTGTTGTAGATTCACTTGGAGGAAACTCAAAAACAATTATGATTGCCACAATCGGTCCAGTAGATTATAATTACGAAGAATCACTTACAACACTCAGGTACTTTGACTAAAAAAATATATATATTCAAATATATTGATATCATATATTTTCTAGATATGCTAATCGTGCAAAGAATATCAAAAATCAACCGAGAATAAATGAAGATCCGAAAGATGCCTTGTTACGACAATTTCAAGAAGAAATTGCTCGTCTGAAAGCACAATTAGAAGGCAATGGTGGTGGAACGCGAAAAGGGGGTCGACGAAGAAGGAAACGCGCTGATGGAACAGCTATTGATGATGATGAGAACGACGATGTAGACGGTTAGTATATTGACTGGTAACTCAATTTTCATATAAATTTGTTTCAATTTTTGAATAGATGAAGAAATTTTCATTAGAGAACAAAAAGAAAAACTCGAAGTCGAAAAACAACGAATTATCAATGATAAGAATATGATTGGTAAAAAAGAATTAAATAGAATAAATCAGTATTAACTTAGAATTGTTATTTATTTAGAATCTAAACGTTCTAAAATGTTAGAACAATTACAAGAACATCAACAAGAAATTGAATATGAACAAGAAGAACGAAAAAGAATGCAAGCTAAAATTCAAGAAATGGAAAGTAAATTATTAACAGGTGGAAAAGATATTATTGAACATACAAGTGAACAAGAACGAATGTTGGAACAAAAACGGTAAAGTGTATAAATAGAATCATATAGGGTAAATATTATACTATATACAAATTTTTTCTTCAAAGACGAATGATAGCTGATGCTGAACGACGGGATAGAGAAATACAAGAACAATTACAGCAACGTGAAGCAGAACATTCATCACTGAATGAACATTTTACATCAATACAGCAAGAAGTTGAAATTAAACGTGCAAATAAAGAAAAATTATCAAAAAAACTACATAAAATAGAACTAGAAAAACAAGACTTATTAGTATGTGAAGAAAATATAACGTTGATCTATTTAATAAATAATAGATTTATTTATTTATTTGAAGGAATCACATAATGCTGCTCGTGAAGAACTTGAAGCTGAACAACGTGAAATACAAAAAACGGCTAAATTATATCAACTAATTATTGAAAATTTTATACCTATAGAAGAACGAGAGAGAATAATAAAACGAATGCAATATGAACCTAAAGAACGATGTTGGGGATTGAAAGAATTATCAAAAAAAACGTATAATATTTTTGTAAATGGTGTGTGTATAGATATGATTGTATGCAATATTTTTACTTATTTAAAGTGATCAGATGGCTGCTCGACCACAATCAGCAACTGGTGATCGTCGTCCAATATCAGCCTATTCACAGTCAATATCAGAATTATCTCGTTTTAAAGTAACTTTCATGTAAAAAATGTCATCTTTTATATAATAATCTGTTTTCTTTGAATTTAGGGTGAAAATATCATTTTATTACAATTAGATTTTCCTAGTCGTACAACTCGTGATTATGAGGGCCCTATGGTATCACCTGCTATACAAGCAGCTATTGAAAAAGCTATGGAAAATGAAGAAAACATTGATATTGATGCCAAGTAGGTTTAAAATTAAAATTCTTTTATTTATCTAATAAATACTAAGGTTAAAAGATGAACATCCAATTAGATTGATTAAACAAAATTCGGCTAATAGAGAGTATTTGAGTATTTATTTATCCAAAATGAATCAATCCATCAATTAAAAGTAATATTGATTTAATACGCTAAAATTAGAAATTAGCTTGAACAATGAAAACAGTCGTACTCTCATTACTCAGAATCTCGTTGAAAATTGGAATGATCTGCTTTGGAAAAAAAATCTTGCTCTTTTTCATTTGAAAATATAGTTGTTGAATTAGGTAGGTCATCATCTGTTACATTGCTTCTAATAAACTATCGAATTCAGTAGGTTCATAGTTTTCTCTATTTTTTGTAAAAGACAACTTTTTGACAGGTTCTAACTTTTTACCATTCGTATATATTCATCCATGGTATCCGAAACTTTTACTTTTCTCATCGATTAAGAAAATCAAAATCGTTTTTTGGAAATCTTTATTCTTTTTGACTTTAAAAATTGTCACTTTTTCTTCTAAAGTAATATATTCTTTTAATTCAACTACTGTACTTCAATTTTCTCCTGATAATAGTAAGATTTCTGATTTTCAATCTTTCTATCATACGAATGAAATTATCGTCTTTTATTTAAATGTCCTGTGTTGAGATTATCATACTAGCTCGTTGTATTGAACAAATCTAACTATCTTAGTTCACACTAACTGCTTTTGATATTATATTGTGTTCTGATTAATTATCTTTTATCTAAATGTTTATTTCTTTTCCTATTGATAGTACATTGCCAGAGAAAAAGAAGAAAAAAAAGTATGTTTTATTAAAATTGTTCATTTACTGCATTTTATATGCCTCTATTGTCTATTTATAGGAAACTGGTGCCACAACAGCATCAACAACAAACATCACTCTCAAATTATGATTACTATCCATCTGAAATGAATCGAAATGGTAGACCAACAACTGCTTCACGTGATTTACATTCAGGCTTGAATAGTGCCAGACGAAATTAAAACAAAAAATTCCGTTCATTTTTTTCTAACAGTGATAATAAAAATGTTCAATATTGTAGTTATTTTTTTCCAGTATAGCTTTCATCTCAAATGTTGTTTCTTATTCGCGTTTTCTATTTCATATCGACTTTACACAACTTCTCAATCTATTATTTAAAAATAATATTGATTTTTCATTTTTTGAATCTCTTTCTGTCTTTGTACATGCTTAATGTCTTCAATTTCTCTTATTTAAATACAGTACAAACTAAAGTATTAATCTCATACTGGTGAATAAAATATATTTCTAGTCTAGCAAAGTAACGTTACACATGTATATTGCTCATTCTCTTTCGTCTAGGCATAATTGAATAATCTATTGATTCTGTTCTCGTCTGGTATATACTAGAAAATTATGAAAACAAAAACAAATTACTGGAAAATCTAACATTATTTAAAAATCTTTTGTAAAAATGGCACTTTTGATGGAGTTCGCTTTGCTGTTGCTGAATGATTATCTTTGTGAGCCGATACTGCTGATGTCGATGATGTTAGTGATGTTTGTGAATCAATTTGTGGTTTGGGTGATTTTGTTCGACGTGCTGTTGTTGAATTTGTTGCTGTTGGTGCTGTATTAGTCGAGATATTACTTTTTTGAATGACACTTATTGGAGAGGATATAGTAGACGGAGTACCAGCACCAAATGAAAGTGTACTGACGGTTGGTAGACTACTTACTGTTGGTAGAGAACTACTGGAAATTGTGTTAGTATTTGAATTATTAGGTATTGTTGTTCCGCTAAGAGGTGATGGAGCATTTACGCTTGACGATATTCGTTGATTGAACGATGCTGTTAATGTACTCGTTTGGGGTGATGATGATATAACATTCTGACCAATATTTGGAGGATTAAATAGAGTTGATGAACTAGATGAAGACGATGACGATAAGGGATCTGTAGGTACACTTGTTGGTAATGTAAGTGGTAAAGCTTTTTCTTCTTCTTCTATAGGACAAAATGTTGTTGTTAATGATTGCACCGATGGTATTGTAACATTATTTGATCTTTCACGTTCTTTTCGTACTTCCCTAACTGTTCGATGAAATAAATTTTGCACATATTCATATTCATCTGCTGCTGTTGTTTCAAAAAATGCACAATTAAATTTTAATGCTATTGTTTCACCATCAGCCTTAGCAATAACTCTAAAATAATAGAAAAAATGATTTAAATTTAGAATTGAAACATTATATATACAACTAGTTACCTATTTCGTTCAAGATCGAGTTTATTTCCAATTAGAATAATAACAAGTTCATTTGAAGATAGACTAATACTTCTCGAATATTCATGAATATTATCTAAATAAGAGAGGGCCATTTCAAAACTATCTTGTTGTGTTATACTGTATGTAATCAATACGGCATCAGCCCATTTTAAATAATATGGCAATCGTTTATCATCCTAAAAATAGTATAAAAGTACATATAATAATCAAATTTTTCTATTTTGAATAACATTGAAAGTATCCTTCGTTATATCTCTATTTTACAAAATAAGTATGTATAAGTTAATCAATCCGGTATTAGAAAATGAGTAAAATATAAATCTAAAGAGTTACTTTTCCATATGTATCCATAACTTTGACCAGTACTTCTTGTTGATCTACAGTATCTGGCTTCCAATATGTATCTTCTAAATGGAAGAAAAAAAGTAAAATTTTACTTGAACGAAGACAAAAATGAATTTTGAAATCTGTAAATAATTTTAAAATAAAAATAATCTTGTTACCTACGTATACATTATTAAAGACTTACCAAGAAATGGATCATATTCACAGATAAAACGTTTTGTTAAATATTTCACAATGAGTGCACTTTTTCCAACATTTGCTTGTCCAACCAAGACAATATTTACTTCTTCTTTTGGCAAACTACCCGATGATAAATGACTTTTAACCGAACTATTCGTTGATTTATAACGACTCATCACAGTTTAATTCAATTAGAAATGAATTCGGCTTGATTTGAAGGTTTTTATTCGAATTTAACTATAAAGAACAAGATCTCAATAAGTGAAGTCAAAACAAAAAACAGAGAATGTAAGAGCTAGTGTAAGACCTTTCCAGAACCATCTGTCTTATGTTAGGTTAAGAGGTCAATATTTTTCATGCGTAAAACAGAAATTTCTATAAGCGACACTATAACGTTGAGAATATCGAAAAGTCAAAGTACAATTTAGATTTAATATAGAATAAAAAGTTATTGTTAGCAATAGATCTATGTTAATGGTGTATTATTCACTTACCTTAAATCATAACAGAGAAAACAAAGATGTGCTCTATTATTGTACACTCGAGAAAAGATCAAAATGGTATTAACAATTGTTTATGTATATGCATATGTACTCCAACTATTTCAAAAAAGAAAAGAAAAGAAAGGATCTACTATGCTTAGTGCAGATGTTTCAGACAACGTTGTACATGTATGCACAGTGTCGAGTGTTCTCTTATTGCGATTTTTGTTCTATCTGATGATTATGATTGCCTGTATTTTCCGTATAATTTTTTTTGATGTTCTGCCAGAATATATATGAATCGTCAGGAGTATAGATTTTCGTCATATTCCATATACTTAAGAGCGTAAAAGAGAAAAGAAAAGAAAAGTAGAACAGATTATTAATTTTATGTTAATCTTACATATTCATCATCTCTCTCAGAATGATAAAAGATCAATTAGCTAAAACTCCGAGGAAAGTGATTTGTAAAATTGTAAATATGATATCATGGTATGTGATTTGTTAAATAATTGATCTCATTGTTTTAACAAACAATCCAAAAATTATTAACTGTCTACAGTTTTATGTCCATTTCAGCCCTCTAAAAGCATCCGACAATCTTGTTTCTCGTTAAACAATTTTTGTTCAGTTGATATATCTTTTTTGGAGACTTTTAAGGTTTTCCTTCGTCCGAAGAAAAACAAAATTTCAAGTTTAAGGAGGTTTTGAGGGCAAAATGGCTGTTTTTTGCACTTTTTGTTACCCCTTTGCCCCTGCGGTCGGTCGGATGGACAGTTAATAAAACCTCCTGAGTGTTGTTGAGCACTAACAACGAAGATGAAGCGATGCCATGTGCTTGAAGGGGCATATTTTGGTAGAATTAAGGTAGAATGGAAAAAATATAAATGATATTACTTTTCAATAGGAAAGAATAAACATAGAACTTAAACCCACTAAGTTCCGTTATGGAGACCAGAGCTCGAAACGAATCGAATAACTCGGCATTCGATTCGATTTAGCAAAAGACAGAATCGAATCGAACCGAATTTGATTTCAGAAATGTTAAGTCGAATCGAGTCGAACCGATTTCGAATTCAAATATGTTATCCGGAATCGAATCGGGTTTTCCTGATTCGTTGTCGTTGTTTGTCTTGTTGTTGTAGTTGTCGAAATAATGATGTATCCATACTAGAGCGAGAATTGAATGTTTCTTATGGCTCAGTTTAAGGGAAACGATAGGTAGACTAGTAAGTACTGATTATATATTTGTACATATATCCAGGAAGATTTTCACATTTTGACCCTGTAGGGCAATGCTAATAAGCTTTTTATTAAGCAGTAAAAAACTCTTTCTATTATGATTAAAAAAATGTTGTGCAAAAGTATCAACAATAAAAAAATGTACAAAAAAAATACTTTATTCTCTCAACTGGAGTTACAAAAAAAAAACACATAAAAATAAATAAAAGTACACAAATTGTACTACATGTATAAAAGTTAACAAAGTTTATCACTGTATAATAGAGTAACAAAGTGACATACAAAAAATACTTATAAATTATCGATCCAAGTTCATTAACAGTGCTGTACCACGTTTGACCCAATGAGTATTGGGAAAATGTGGTGTTTTTAGATTGACTTCGACAACAAATGATGGATGACCAAAACCACCGGCACGATTTGGAAAATAATAACATGGACAGGAATAGACATCTAAAATGTAGGAATACAAAAGAAATAGTGTTTTGTATTTAAATTTGAATCGCTAAAACAGTACCTGTTTTTCTTTCTCGATCTTCTTCAGTAGCCATTGCCTTTTTCTTATTTTCAACCGGTTTAAATAGAATTGTTGGCATCGGTACTTCTAATTGCATGGCTTCAGCTTCGACTAGACAAGCATTTTTCTTATCCCATCCAGCACCTTCCAAAAACAAACCTTTGACATAGACACCATCTTTTGGTGCTTGAATGTAATTATCATCAACTTTCATCACTTCAAATTCCCATATAAGACGATCGATTGATATCTTAAATAGAGGAAAAATTTTACAATCAATAAATTAGATCGACATATACATACCTTTGTCGTTCTCGCAGTAGTTTGCATCACGGCTAGAAAAAAAATGTGTTATACAATAATTTGTTTAGTTATAGTTAACTTATATTATCCAGATTTACCTGTTAAAAATCCTGTTGGAAAACTAAAACCAGACATCCAAAATATCATTGGTGGATGGGCACTTTCGGACCATTTCTAGAGTAGATCAATGGGTAAATATAGTCAGTTAGATTAATAAAGTTTATCAGAAATACCGCTAATTGTTCTATACGTTGGACGAGATCTCGAGTCCATGCTGCTAACGGTTTCAATGATGGATACATTTTTTGCCATTGTGTTGGTACACGAGCATCTAATATACAACGAAATATTTCTTCTAAATCGCTTGACATCACCACGAGACCCTAGTAGACAATTATTGATTATTTATATTTTTCAACTTGTTTTGTGTTTTTTTCAATCATATAGCTTACCTTGATACCCTTTTGTAGAGCAATCAATGAGTTACGTATGACATCTAATAATATATTGTAGCGTTCAATTTCTTGTAGTAAAACAATTTTTAATGGTGTATGATCTTCGGACATGATTTTCACAGTGCTAGCATAATCAATTTTTTCCGGTAATTGTTCTAATACACGAGTACTCATCTCCATAACCTAAAATAAACAAAATATTTATTATTACAATTTAATCTTGTTCAATAATATTTAATATGTATCATTTTTCTTTTCTACACTATGCTTACTTCTTCTTCTGTGGTCTTTTTTCCTTTGACAGCAACAACTTGTGGTTGCAATGATAATAATGTTTCAAATAACATTCTAGTTTCTCTAATTTGTGATGCAATTTCAGCATTTGGATGTTGACCAAATGCTTCTGGATGATCGGTATTTGGCAAAACGGTTGATACAGAATTCCTATAATCATTCAATGAACCATCTCTTGGCACATAATAATGAGGCAATTTTGTCAGTTTATAATATTGAACTTGTGGATCAATTATTTCTTCTTTGAATAAATCTTCAATGTACGTATTTAATACTCTCATGTCACGTGTATCAGTTACCTACGAGATCAAAAAATATTAAAATTAATAACAGCCCAAGTACTAAAAAAGCATCGAGAATGGTCTGATGTATCCCAGGCATCAATACACCGATTGATGCATCTAGTTGCAGATAAATATGTTTCTCTCGATATAACTAGTTAACATCGCTCATAAATAGACATTTGTATATGATTTAACTTCATGGTGGCAATTTCATTGAGCAATACAGCTCGATAACTGACACAGCTGTCGAGAACACAGAAAAAAATACTTAAAAATTTCAATGTTATACGTGTTCTCTATATACGGAGTGTTTATACTGAAAAAACGAAACGATAAATATAGAAAATGCATGGAAAAATGATAAGATTTCTAGGATTGAAATTCTATAATTTCCTACTGTACGATTCTATAAGAATCTTACGATTTTCTATTGTAGAAAACTGATAGAAAACCTAGTGTATGATTTCTTACGGAAACTGTCATACGTTCGTGTAGTAGAAATATCACAGGATTATCTGTGATAGGATTCTAGTTGATCCTATGCAAGGATTCTGACGTTTTCCTCTAGACATAGGATAGTATGAGATTCTTGTAAGATTTCTACTAGAATTTTGAACATGAGTGAAGCATGATCGATTGATACGCTAGCTATCGAGATATTTTGGCTAATCCACATTTGTTTGGATAAATAATATAGAACAAATATCTCATTATCGTCACTTACATGTCCGCCATAGTTTATTTTAGATATAATAAATTTCATTGCTTTCCACGGTGTTACATCATTCGCATTATCTCGTAATAAATTACCCATAATTAAATTTGATGTTTCAAAATCAGAATCATTGTAACTATAGTTAATATTCCAACCAAGTTGTAAAAATTTTTTACGTTCCAATAGTAATGAATGAAAAAAGCATAGACAAAATAATAAACGCTTATATTTTTCTGGACGAACACGTGATTTATCATTAAAATCAGCATCATCTATTAACGCATATAAACGTTTCATATTTGCTTTTATACCCTAAATATAACATTCATTTGACTATTGTTTTTATGATATGTTAACTGTTTTTGTTACCTTCGGTGCTTCAGTTGTTATTTTTAAACCATTTTGTAATATTGAAATTGGAAAATGTGGACTTGGTGATGAACTGAGCCATAAACGAAACATTGGATGAACTTTTTCCACAGACAAATTTTCAACAATTTTCTCTAAATCGGGCATCCATGAAAGTGACAAATGACAATTGGCTAAAAAGATCCAACGACCCTAGAATGAGAGAAAAAAAGAAAGAAAAATTTAAAAGATATAATTTTTATTGACGATTAAGACTCTGCCTCTGCTCTGACAGAAACCTATTTTCGTCCAAAAAAAAGGTTCGATGTTATTTAAATCGTCAAAGAATGTATATCTAATGACAACACTAAAGATATGAACACGAAGTGTTCAGTCTTCCCAGAGTTATTCCAAAATAAGGGTCAAAAGTAGGAAGGTATTCGTGCAACAAGACTTTCTCCGCTATTTTAAATACTAAAACGCTTAGGATGAGTTCAAAATGTAGCTGTAACTTGACACTAGAACTTAACGGCTAGATTATTTTGACTTTCAATCTAGTTTTTGAGAAAAATAAAATTTTCTGTTAAACGAATATTTTATTTTTCGAGGTTGTTAACAATATCTCATCTCTCTTCGGTAGAAAACAATACAACTTCTGAAAGTAGACGCTTTGGCCTATTCAAACAGGTATAAATCTCAAAATTGATATTTTTCACAAAAATATTGCCTCCTGTTGACAAAAGAGTGACCTTTAAATTGTTACTTACCAAACGTATTCCTTCAGCAATGTTTTGTGTAGCAATTGGTGCTTGACCTTGACCCAATGATAAAGGTATATAATTTTTTTTAAAATCCATTTTTTCAGCAAGTGCTGTTAAATTACTACTTGGATCAACACCTGGAGATAAAACAAATATAATAGGTGTTTTGGGTGATGAATCTTCAAAAACACTTGTTAAATCTAAAATTGGTGGTTCAACAAATTTTGATCCCAAATTATTTACTACAAATTTTGTAACACAATATGGTACACGATCTGATCTTAATGATCGAACAATTAACATTTTTTGTAATTCATTAATAGAATCCCATTCTCCTGGCATTGTTGTATTTTCTGGTTCAGCACTTTGATACCATTGAAACCAGTCACGTGGATATTGTTCAAATGATTCAATAATACCATGAAAATTTGCTAATTTAGCTAATTCTGTTATATTATCCCAAGATTGATCGGCAAGCCATTGTGGATTTGGATTATCCATTTGTGATTCACGATCAAGAACAATTCCACCACGTAGAAAAAATTGATATTCATCCATATTTGTTTTACCAGCTGCTTCAAGAATTTTTATACACATTTGAAATGAAAATAATAATTTATGAGATTCAAATAAACCACGACATGTATATCTAAAAAATACATAGTCTATAAATATTTTTATTTATTTTTGGAAATAAAACATACTTGTAGACAGCATATGTATGAAAATCATTTAATTTATTTAAACGTTCTTCTAATTTTGTACTTTTTTGACTTTTTTTAATTGATGTATTAAATAAATCAATATAGGCATCTAATGAAAATTGATACATTGGATCAATTTTACCAAGATCATTTAATACAAAAAATAAGATACTAGCACGTTCGGCACACGGTCGATAATTCTAAAAATATACGATTATATCAAACAGATATATGTATTAAGGTTTTCCCCCTATCAAAAATCTATTTTTGGCCCAGAACATTCAATCTTGATAAAATTTTTACAGAATATGTCCCTTGTATTTGATATATCACATAAAAAATTTGAGCTCGAAATATTGAGTTTTCCCAGAGTTATCTTAAAATTAAGAGTCACAAAGGAGATATCCGTGCGGCCCAGATCTCCAGATTGCATGCTAGAAAGCTCGGGTAGATCTTAAAATGTAGCCAGGACTTGCCGCTACAACGTAGCAAGGCCGAATTTTATAATTTTTTTCGATTTATTTTTTCCGAAAGCCGTTTTTAAAAAAGTTGGAAAAATTACGGCTTATTTTTCAGAAAATTTTATTTTTCTCAAAAATAAAAGATCCGGTCTTGCTACGTTGTAGCGCTAAGTCGTCGCTTCATTTTAAGACCTTCCCGAGCTTTCTAGCGTGTAAAATGGTAGAGAAATCTGGGCCGAACAAACAGGTAAAAATAGAAAAACCCATTTTGAGAAAAACACAAAACAAATTTTGACTACAGAAAGTTTTTTTCCTTCAACATGTGGCACAGTGGGCAACTAAGCGGACATTAGGCCAAAAAGTCGATTTTATCTATCTTGAAATACAAATAGTGCAAAATGTAGCTCTTGAAATTCTCTATCGAATGGTGTATAAACGTCTATTGTGAAACT